CCCGTCACTCGCCGCGTCACTCGCGCGCTCACTCGCCCGCTCACTCGCCCGCTCACTCGCCCGCTCACTCGCGCGCTCACTCGCACGCTCACTCGCGCGCTCACTCGCCGCTCACTCGCCGCTCACTCGCCCGCTCACACGCCCGCTCACTCGCCCGCTCACACGCCCGCTCACTCGCCCGCTCACTCGCACGCTCACTCGCACGCTCACTCGCCCGCTCACTCGCACGCTCGCTCTCACGCTCGCTCGCCCGCTCGCTCGCCGCTCGCTCTCGCTCACTCGCACGCTCACTCGCACGCTCACTCGCCCGCTCACTCGCCGCTCACTCGCCCGCTCACTCGCCGCTCACTCGCACGCTCACTCGCGCGCTCACTCGCGCGCTCACTCGCCCGCTCACTCGCGCGCTCACTCGCCCGCTCACTCGCGCGCTCACTCGCACGCTCACTCGCACGCTCACTCGCCCGCTCACTCGCACGCTCACTCGTCCGCTCCCTCGCACGCTCACTCGCACGCTCACTCGCACGCTCACTCGCACGCTCACTCGCACGCTCAAACATTCACTCAACCCTTACTAGTTGGCTGTGTCGGGTGGTGGCGGGTTTTACGACACATTTAGATATTTACGCGATCCAACCCAAAAAACCTCTTATGGATGATATTGTTAGCGAAAGCTTACGTGTTAAATTCACTCATCCACTTACTCACACACTCAACCACCCACCCACTCACCCATCCACTCACACACTCACCCACCCACATATTCACCCACCCACTCACCCGCCCACTAACCCACCCACGAGCCACCCTTCCACCCACTGAGCTACCCTCTCACCCACTGACCCACCCACCCATCCACCCACCCACTAACCCACCCACGCCCTCACTCACCCACCCACCCACACACTCATACATCCACACACTCATACACCCACACACTCATACACCCACACACTCACCCACACACTCACCCACTCAACAATACACCCACTCACCCACCCACGCACTCACCCACCCCACCCACTCACCCACCCACCCACTCACCCACCCACCCACTCACCCACCCACTCACCCACTCAACAATCCACTCACCCATCCACACACACACTCACCTACTCACCCACCCACTCACCCATCCACTCACCCACCCACCCACTCACCCACTCAACAATCCACTCACCTACTCACCCACCCACTTACCCATCCACTCACACATTCACTCATCCACCCACCCACACACTCACCCATCCACACACTCACCCACTCACCCGCACGCCCTCTCACTCACCCACTCATCACACTGCAGGTCTCTCCGCTTCTCCCAGCACACCGCTCCACTTTGTACTTCCCTCCCACCACCGCCGCCATCGCCCCTTCCTGCCCAAACAAACGTCACTCTCTCCCGACTCAACAAACACATTCGCCACGACAGCTTCGACTGGCGCTGTTTGTTGCCGGTCGCTCGGCGTTTTTTGGGGGCCAGTGGGGGACCCGCGCTGAAGGGAGTGTTCCAAGGTGTGCCGTGCCGTGGTGTGGCGTGCCGTGGTGTGGTGTCGTGTGGCGTTGTGTGGTGTGCCGTGGTGTAGTGTGGTGTGGTGTGTGGTGTGTCGTGCCGTGTTGTGGTGTGGTGTGGCGTGGTGTCGTGTGGCGTTGTGTGGTGTGTGGTGTAGTGTGGTGTGGTGTGTGGTGTGTCGTGCCGTGTTGTGGTGTGTCGTGCCATGCCGTGGCATGGCGTGCCGGGGTGTGGTGTGCCGTGCCGTGCCGTGGTGTGGTGTGGTGTGGCATGGTGTGCCGTGCCGTGCCGTGCCGTGACCAGGCAATGTGTGGGCTCCGCCGCAGATCGTCAAGGAGGAGAAGATCAAGCTGTCCGTCAACGACTTCATCATCAAGGCGACGGCGCTCGCCTGCCTCAAGGTTCCAGAGGCCAACTCCTCCTGGATGGACTCCGTCATCCGGCAGTGAGACCTCACCCCCGAACACTCACCACGAGCACTCACCACCAACACTCACCCAGAGCCCTCACCATGAACACTCACCCAGAGCCCTCACCCCGAGCCCTCACCCCAAGTCCTCACCCCAAGTCCTCACCCCGAGTCCTCACCCCGAACACTCACCCAGAGTCCTCACCCAGAGTCCTCACCCAGAGACCTCACCCAGAGCCCTCACCATGAACACTCACCCAGAGCCCTCACCCAGAGCCCTCACCCCCAGTCCTCACCCCCAGTCCTCACCCCAAGTCCTCACCCCAAGTCCTCACCCCAAGTCCTCACCCCAAGTCCTCACCCCAAGTCCTCACCCCAAGTCCTCACCCCAAGTCCTCACCCCAAGTCCTCACCCCCGAGTCCTCACCCCGAGTCCTCACCCCGAGTCCTCACCCCGAGTCCTCACCCCGTGTCCTCACCCCAAGTCCTCACCCCAAGTCCTCACCCCGAGTCCTCACCCCAAGTCCTCACCCCCAGTCCTCACCCCCAGTCCTCACCCCAAGTCCTCACCCCAAGTCCTCACCCCAAGTCCTCACCCCGAGTCCTCACCCCAAGTCCTCACCCCGAGTCCTCACCCCAAGTCCTCACCCCCAGTCCTCACCCCGAGTCCTCACCCCAAGTCCTCACCCCAAGTCCTCACCCCGAGTCCTCACCCCGAGTCCTCACCTCAAATCCTCACCCCGAGTCCTCACCCCAAGTCCTCACCCCAAGTCCTCACCCCGAGTCCTCACCCCCAGTCCTCACCCCCAGTCCTCACCCCGAGTCCTCACCCCAAGTCCTCACCCCAAGTCCTCACCCCGAGTTTTCACCCCAAATCCTCACCCCAAGTCCTCACCCCGAGTCCTCACCCTGAGTCCTCACCCCCAAGTCCTTCCTGAGTTCTCACCCCAGGTCCTTACCCTGAGCCCTCACCCCGAGTCCCGAATCATCCACACATCCTCATCATCATGGTGCTGATGACGATGATGACGACGATGATGACGACGATGATGATGATGACGATGATGACGATGATGATGATGATGAAGATGATGACGACGATGATGACGACGATGATGATGATGACGATGATGATGATGATGACGATGATGATGACGATGATGATGACGACGATGATAATGACGATGATGATGACGATGATGATGACGATGATGATGACGACGATGATGATGACGATGATGATGACGATGATGATGACGACGATGATGACGACGATGATGACGACGATGATGACGATGATGATGACGATGATGATGACGATGACAGTGATAACGATGACGATGACGCCGTTGATGTGCAGGCACCACGTGGTGGACGTGAACGTGGCGGTGAGCACCTCGTTTGGCCTCATCACGCCGATCGTCTTCAACGCGCACCACAAGGGCCTCGCCAACATCAGCCGCGACGTCACCCGCGCTGGCCGCACGGGCACGTGACGGCAAACTCCAGCCCCACGAGTTCCAGGTGATCACGACGACGACGACGATGACGATGATCACGACGATCACGACGATGATGACGACGATGACGACGATAATGACGATGATGATGACGATGATGATGATGATGATGATGGCGACGATGATGATGATGACGATGATGATGACGATGACGACGATGACGATGATGACGACGATGACGATGATGATGATGACGACGATGACGATGATGACGATGACGATGATGATGACGACAATGATGATCATGATGATTTTGATGACGATGACGACAATGACGATGATCACGACGATCACGACGATGATGATGACGATGATGATGATGATGGCGACGATGATGATGATGACGATGATGATGACGATGACGATGATGACGATGATGACGACGATGATGATGACGATGACGACGATGACGATGATGACGACGACGATGATGATGACGATGATTTTGATGACGATGACGACAATGTTGAAGATGATGATTATGATGATGAAGACGATGATGACGATGACGACGACGATGATGACGATGACGACGATGACGACAATGATGATGACGACGATTATGATGATGACGATGATGACGATGATGATGATGACGACGATGATGACGATGACGAATTTGATGATGACGATGACGACGATGATGATGATGATGACATTGATGATTGATGACAATGACGCGATGACAACGTTGATGACGACGACGATGATGATGACGACGACGACGACGATGATTTAACACGGAGGCTTTTGCAACCAATATCCATAATATAGGTTTTTTATTGGGCTAGATCGCGAAAATATAAACCCTCGTGAAAAGCAATCTTGAGACTCGGTGATGGTGGTGGTGACGATGGTAGCGGCGGTAGCGATGGCAGTGGTGGTGGCGGTGGTGGTTATGGTGGCGGTGGTGGGTGGTGGTGGTGGTGGCGGTGGTTGTGGTGGTGGTGGTGGTGGTGGCGGTGGTGACGGTGGTGGCGGTGGTGGCGACGATGGTGGCGGTGGTGGTGGGGGGTGGTGGTGGTGGTGGTGGTGGCGGTGGCGGCGGTGCCGGCGGTGGCGGTGGTGGTGGTGATGGTGGCGGTGGTGGCGGCGGTGGCGGCGGTGGCGGCGGTGGTGGCGGTGGTGGTGGTGGCGGTGGCGGTGGTGGTGGCGGTGGCGGCGGTGGCGGTAGTGGTGACGATGGTAGCGGCGGTAGCGATGGCGGTGGTGGTTATGGTGGCGGTGGTGGGTGGTGGTTATGGTGGCGGTGGTTGTGGTGGTGGTGGTGATGGTGGTGGTGGTGGTGACGGTGGTGACGGTGGTGGCGGTGGTGGCGACGATGGTGGCGGGGGTGGTGGTGGTGGTGGTGGCGGTGGTGGTGCATTGTCACGAGTTTGTTGTGCGTTGCCGTCGCAGGGAGGAACCATCACCATTTCGAACCTCGGCATGTTCGGCATCAAGAACTTCTCGGCCATCATCAACCCCCCGCAGGCGTGCATCCTGGCCGTGGGGGGCACCGAGAAGAGGCTGCTGCCAGCCGACAACGAGAAAGGGTGAGCGCGCGCGTGTGCGTGTGTGTGCGTGTGCGTGTGAGTGTGTGCGTGTGTGTGAGCGTGTGTGTGTGAACGTGTGTGTGTGAGCGCGCGTGTGTGAGCGCACGTGAGTGTGTGTGTGAGCGCGTGTGTGTGTGTGTGTGTGTGCGTGTGTGTGTGTGTGCGTGTGTGAGCGTGTGTGTGTGTGAGCGTGTGTGTGTGTGTGAGCGTGTGTGAGCGTGTGTGTGTGTGAGCGTGTGTGAGCTTGTGTGTGTGTGAGCGTGTGTGTGTGAGCGTGTGTGTGAGTGTGTGTGTGTGAGTGTGTGTGTGAGTGTGTGTGAGTGTGTGTGTGAGCGTGTGCGTGTGTGTGAGCGTGTGTGTGGGGAGCGAGTGTGTGAGCGTGTGTGAGCGTGTGTGTGAGCGCGTGTGTGTGAGCGCGTGTGTGAGCGTGTGTGTGTGTGAGCGTGTGTATGAGCGTGAGCGTGTGTGTGTATGAGCGTGAGTGTGTGTGTGAGCGTGTGTGTGAGCGTGTGTGCGTGTGTGTGTGAGCGTGTGTGTGTGAGCGTGTGTGTGAGTGTGTGTGTGTGAGCGTGTGTGTGAGCGTGTGTGTGAGTGTGTGTGAGCGTGTGTGTGAGTGTGTGTGTGAGCGTGTGCGTGTGTGTGAGCGTGTGTGTGGGGAGCGAGTGTGTGAGCGTGTGTGTGTGTGTGTGAGCGTGTGTGTGAGCGTGTGTGTGTGAGCGCGTGTGTGTGTGTGAGCGCGTGTGTGTGAGCGCGTGTGTGTGTGTGAGAGCGTGTGGGGAGCGTGTGTGTGTGTGTGTGAGCATGTGTGTGTGTGTGTGTGAGCGTCTGTGTGTGTGTGTGTTAGCGCGTGTATGTGAGCGTGTGTGTGTGTGTGTGAGCGTGTGTGTGTGAGCATGTGTGTGAGCGTGTGTGTGTGTGAGCGTGTGTTTGAGCGCGTGTGTGTGAGCGTGTGTGTGAGCGCGTGTGTTTGAGCGCGTGTGTGAGTGTGTGTGTGAGCGTGCGTGTGTGCGTGAGCGCGTGTGTTTGAGCGCGTGTGTGTGAGCGTGTGTGTGTGAGCGCGTGTGTGTGAGCGTGTGTGTGTGAGCGCGTGTGTGTGAACGTGTGTGTGAACATGTGTGTGATCGATGCCCGGGTGCGGTCAAGGGATGGCTCCCTATTGGTCAACCACGTTATGTATGCCGATTATTTGGTAATAGCTGCTCATTCAGAGGAGGAGTTGGAGACGCTGCTGCTGAGACTGGAGCGTGCCACTACGAGGTGGGGCCTTACCATCAGCCCCACCAAAACTAAGCACCTGCCTGGGTATATTGTACCATCAAAGACTCCACCCCCACAACTCGTAATTGGTGTTGAGGCAGTAGTGGAGAGAGTGGAGAGTTTCCCATACCTGGGCAGTGTGCTCATGACCGGCTCTGGTTTGACAGCAGAGGTCTCACTCCGAATCAGTCGAGCGGCATTACATTTTCATCAGCTGCGTAGCGTTGTGTGGAAGCTGCCTGGTCTGTCGCTCCACACAAAGCTTCGGGTATTCTCGGCCACGGTCATTCCCTCCCTTCTCTACGCTTGCAAAACGTGGGCCCCTCTCCAATGTAACATCTGCGCCGGTTAGAAACATTGAGGCCGGCCTGCCTACGATCCATGACCGCGCGCCGTGTCACCGTGTGTGGTGTCGCGGCAGCTTCGTGGTGGCGAGCGTCATGTCGGTGACCCTGAGCTGTGACCACCGCGTCGTGGATGGAGCCGTCGGCGCCCAGTGGCTCGCCGAGTTCCGCAAGTTCCTGGAGCGGCCCAGCACCATGCTGCTGTGAGTGGCACCACCACCACCGCCTCCTCCTCCTCCTCCTCATCATCGTCTTCCTCATTGTCGTCATCCCGGCACCCGCCACCGAACCCTCTCTCTCCGCCCTGGTGGCTGCATCTCACGAACAACAACAGCAACAACAGCCGCAACGGCTGCTGCTGCTGCTAAAGCTACTCGGCAATCAACGTCTACGGGACGTTACCCAACGCTCGGTCTGCGCGCACGCCCCACCCCCCCCATCTCGTCCTCGGCTTCAGCATCGTCGTCGCTTTAGTGCGTGACGTTGCACCACGCCGTGTCGCCCCCGCACCTCCACGCACCTCCACGCACCTCCACGCACCTCCACGTACCTCCACGCACCTCCACGTACCTCCTCGCACCTCCACGCACCTCCACGCACCTCCACGTACCTCCTCGCACCTCCTCGCACCTCCACGCACCTCCACACACCTCCACGCACCTCCACGTACCTCCTCGCACCTCCACGCACCTCCACGTACCTCCACGCACCTCCACGCACCTCCACGCACCTCCACGTACCTCCACGCACCTCCACACACCTCCACGCACCTCCACGCACCTCCACGCACCTCCACGTACCTCCTCGCACCTCCACGCACCTCCACGTACCTCCACCCACCTCCACGCACCTCCTCGCACCTCCACGCACCTCCACGCACCTCCACGTACCTCCACGCACCTCCACGCACCTCCACGCACCTCCACGCACCTCCACGCACCTCCACGCACCTCCACGCACCTCCACGCACCTCCACGCACCTCCACGCACCTCCACGCACCTCCACGCACCTCCACGCACCTCCACGCACCTCCACGCACCTCCTCACTCTGCCCTGGATTTGCTGGCAAGAACCGTGGTGCACGGCGTCGATGGGGCGGGGGGGTGGGTCAGGGGTTGGGGGGAGAGAAGCCCTCCAAGTTATCACGTGGTGTGGCAGTGACCGACTGCTAGGGCCGCCAGGCAGCTGCTAGCAGCTGTGCCGCCTCTCTGTCTGCAACAGCTATGAGCCTCGTAAACGGCTGTATCCATAGCAGTTCGACACGTACGCCTTGCATGCCGGGAACTTCTTTCGCACCATATGTAAGCCAGCCGCGCTAATCGGAGGTGCGGGGGGCGGGGGGAGCGCAACCAATTAAACGCAACAACAGAGCAGTTCTTAAAGGAACTTCTTTTCGCACCGTACGCAAGCCGACGCCGCTAATCGGACGTCGTGTTGTCCAACTTGGGCCCTGGGTGGCTCTTTTGGGGACAGAGAGACGTGCCCCCCCCTCCCGCTCCCCCCGGCAGGGAGTGATCGCAGTAGCTGGCGGACAGGGCATAGACCTCTCCCACCACCCCCCCCCCCCCACCACCGTTTGCGTGCGGAGAGACCTCAGCCTCACCCGTTTTTGTCACCAGATTATTTAACATTTTATGCATTTTGAGGAATTGTGCCCCCCTTGTCTTGTCGTTCTTATCGTTGTCGTAAACCAGTGGTTCTTAAACCTTCACTGCAGCCTTGGCGGAACCCCCTTTGGTTTCGGGAGTTAAAAAAGTTCATTGTTAATGACCAAATCTCGATTTGAAGTTTTCGTGACTGCAGGGATCCATACTCTTTGATTCTTGTGGTAAAGTCACGTGGGTAGAAAACAAAATCAATTAAATGACGACGTTTCGGGCGCAACACAAGCGTCCGTCATCAGGTGGGGCAACCACAGCAAGAAACAATTGCTGAAGTGGGCAAAAGGGCTGCTGCTGTAACAAGAGGCCATAGAGGTAAGAGAGGGGGGAGGAGCAGGGAGGAGAGAGAGAGAGGGGGTGGGTCGATGAAACGGTTGTAAAATGCAACCTTTTTGCCAAAATCGAAGTGTGAAAAAACAAGAATAGGTTTGTACGCTTTCTGGAAATTAAACAGGAGCTGTGTTAAGTTTGTCAAACACCTAATAGAGGAAACCTTTTGCACGGAATCTATATACTGCATGTGGTGAGCATGCAAATATCCATCGCTCTGGTAATATTCATTGCATTGTCTTTGAAACTGATTGGCCTACACCTGGATTCATTGCCAAAGGTTTCTATTTTGCGAGGAATCAAAAAGGGTGGCGTCATGCACCCCAGGTGAACAAGAACCACGAATCTGGCTGTCGCCTGATGAAGCTGGTTGTAATTACTGGCGAAACGTCACGGCACTCAGATTGTAAACGTTGTGGCTTTGCTCGCCAACACACAACCGGTCAGTGCTGTACTAGCCACGAATTGGCCACGTCCTGTTCTCTAAACCTTGCTAATTGGCCGTGCCGCGTGGTGGCGGGCTTAAAGACACAACATTTATACATACGCGGTCTGACTCTAACAAATCCGTATCATGGATTATATTAATCGCGGAAGCCGACTCACGTGTTAGGCAGGAACCACTGGTTTGAGGAATTTACCCCTTTGTATTATTATTGTTACATTATCGTTGTTGTTGTTGTCTTAAATGGGGGGTGCGGGGTGGTGGCGATGTTCGCTTTGCTTCTCGATTGCACGTTGATGTCCAGATCTCTCTTTTGCTTGGGTGGTGGGGGGGGGGTTTACAAAGAGGGGATATTGATTAGCCAGGCCGCTTAAGCCAGCACTCCATAGTCATGTCATCACACAAAGACAAAGATCCCCCGTGTAGCCTTCACAGACTGTAGGGGCAAGTGCTGTTAGCGAGCACCTATGAAGGCCGGAACGGCACACGAGGGGGTGGGTGGCCAGCACCTCGCACGACCGCCTTTGTCTCCCCGGCGGCGATCTTTACACACACAGCACCAGGTACTCGTTTGATTCGACCTCGGGGAGGAGGCCCAGGGTCGGTTCGGACAATCACCACCGGTGTTGGCCGTGAGCGGGAATCGGACTCGGGTCGCCGGGTTCGCAGCGCAGCGCTAACCAGCTACGCCACCACTCACTACCCACTACACCACACACATCACACCACACACACCACACACATCACACCACACACACACCACACACACCACACACACCACACACACACCACACACACCACACACACCACACCACACACACACACCACACAAACCACACACCACACCACACACACACACCACACAAACCACACACCACACACACCACGCACACACACACCACACACGCGAGCAGAGACGCACAATAAATGTCTTGCCCCGTTGGAGACCTCAGAGCATGCGTTTGAAGTCTGAGTTCGACCCCTGGGGGGAGGGGAGGGGAGGGATTGCCCCCGGGCTCGGCTCGGTCTCGCCGGGCGTGCGTTTGTCGCGTCCTGGAATAAAGGAACTTGTCTGACCCCGCAGCGTCCCGGGGAAACTTCACCGCCGTGAGACGCGAGAGAGTTGAGCGACGTTTTGACCGTCGTCGATGGTGATGAACAGGGTTGCACGCCGAGGAAGATGAAGGCGACCTGGTGATGATGGTGATGCAGGCAGTGATGAGAATGAAACTGCCACTGTTTGGACACACACACACGTGTAGTAGGATGGACCATGACAGGACAAGTTAAAGTGTCGTTCGGAACAAATGAGAGGAACTGGACAGAGATGAAGACCGAATGGGAAATTGGCTTTTGAGAATCGTCAGAGATTGGTGCCAGTGTAACGGGTTCCGGAGACACTTGTAGATGTAACTTCTTTATTACAATACAACACTCCAACAGTCCTGATACTCTGTTACAGCCTAGGTACACAGCCTAGCTACACAGCCTAGATACTCTACTCTGGCTACGCTCTGGACTCGCCCTCACAAGGTCGTAGCGTCGGGAGTTCCAGAGTCCCAGCGCTGGCTCTCACAGCATCCCAGGGTCTTCAGATGGCTGGTCGTGGGTCTTGGGTCTTGAGTTACAACTGGGGCCCGATCGTCCAGGGAGCTCCGGTTATATGCCCAGTCCCCAACGAGGGGTGGGGCCGTGTGCGCCACCAGACATCCCACAGAGCACACACAGCCCCCCCCGTTGGCGGCGCCCAGAGGCTTAAGCGTCTGGACCCCCTGGGAACCCAGCGCCTGGCGCCCAGGGGATTACGCGTCTGGACCCACCTGGGAACCCAGAGCCTACAGCAGCCCCTCCCTTCTTATGTCACTACATTACCCCCCTCTATGTAGCCTCCAGCCGTCCCGGCTGTCAATAATTAGAAAGTTTAAATTAACGAAAGGGAGAGAGAGAAGAAAAAAAAATACGCGAGCTTCAACAGGAAAAGAAAAGAGAACAAGAAAGCAACCATAAATACCATAACCAACCTGTACAACTCTACACTATATACAAGCATCAATCAACAAAAAGGTGAAGCAATGACACGTGAACAAACGACCCGCGGCCCACCTAGCCCTCCTCGGGATCCGCATAGAAAACGGGGAATTAACAACAACAAATATACAGATTCCGACGCGTTGGATGCACAACCAACACCGGTAATCGAACCGAAATCACACAATCACCGCATGGATGGCAGGGATCCACACCACCCTGCCAGCCTCCCATCCGTCAGGTGGAGAGAAGGCGAAGACCAACATGTCGAGCATCCCTCTACACGCACTTATCCGGACGTCTGTCTACGTCCCGGGTCGAGAAGTCGTACTTCAGGGCCGACCCATGTACTGGGCAAAGAAGTCGCACTTCAGGGCTGCTCCAGTATCTACATTTTAAAAAAATATATATAAAATTTACATGACACAAACAAAATAAATCTGCCTGTTCCTGTCCATAAATGGTGGCCGCACGCATGAACCGCATCTCCAAAAGGCATCCCGTGCTTGCGTCCCAGCAGCCCTCAATGAGGACCACCACCGACATTACATGTCAACCGTTTGCACCTCCCGCCTTTCCAACGTGGCGTCTCCATCCTAAAACCGTGCACGTCGGCCATATCGGGGGGGACTTCAACCCAGTCTCTCTCCAAGACTCGCATCGCAGCATATAGCTGTACCGACCGATCTGAGACCCAACCTCTCTCCAAGACTCGCATCGCAGCATATAGCTGTACCGACCGATCTGAGACCCAACCTCTCTCCAAGACTCGCATCGCAGCATATAGCTGTACCGACCGATCTGAGACCCAACCTCTCTCCAAGACTCGCATCGCAGCATATAGCTGTACCGACCGATCTGAGACCCAACCTCTCTCCAAGACTCGCATCGCAGCATATAGCTGTACCGACCGATCTGAGACCCAATCTCTCTCCAAGACTCGCATCGCAGCATATAGCTGTACCGACCGATCTGAGACGACCCATTGTTCACTCCCTGCACAACATGCACCCTAACAACTGAGGGATACAGTCCCAACGTAACGGGACAACTACACCTGAACACCACGAATCTCCAGCCCACTGTTTCAACGCGCCTCGGAGTGTTTCAATCTCCGGGCCGTCAGGGTGAGCCTACTGCTCCAGACGTACCACGGAGGGTCTCAACCTCCGGGCCGTCAGGTCAAGCCGTCAGCTATTCCATGACGGGACCACACTCTCCGAGCCATGTGAGCGCACAGCCCACTAGGCTAGACATGCCACGGAGTGTTTCAATCTCCGGGCTGTCAGGTCAAGCCGTCAGCTATAGCATGACGGGACCACACTCTCCGAGCCATGTGAGCACACAGCCCACTAGGCTAGACATGCCACGGAGTGTCTATCTCTGGGCTGTCAGGTCAAGCCGTCAGCCATAGCATGACGGGACCACAACTCTCGTGTTAGACACGCAACACCCGCTGGGACATCCTGGTCAGGATCTGCACCCCAAGATATTTGAGAGCCAGCATGACAATTCCAATCCTTGGCAGCATGTCACCATCTCAAGATAAATGCCCCATACAGTATATACATCGTTAACAATGACAGCACAAGCTATACATTAACAATCACGAACAAAGCTCAATATAAACCATACATTGTTAACAATCACAAGCAAAGTTTCGCACACACATTGACAACACTCACGAGCGAAGCTCCACACAGTTTACCCAACAACAGTCACGACTCCCCGACGACAACGAAGAAAATATCAACAAAAAAATCATTAATCCGGAGCGCGTAAATGTACGAAATGTCAGGGGCCTGGTCTCCCGACCTCCAACCTTTGGCCAGAGCAGCAAAGGCGGCGAGCTGCGTGTCGGTCCATGTGCCGGCCCCGGCGCTGGTTACAGTAAGAATGGCGCCCTCACTGTCCGGTCGCAGCGCTGATGACGCGCTGTGCTAGGTTGCCAACAGCTGTCACCCGGCGGTGAGGGACGCAGCGCTGATGACGCGGCGTCGTCGGGTTGGCACACGCTGGGCCCGGAAGTGACGTCGCTCCCAGCGGTCACTGCTCCTCTGGTGGAAGTGACGACACACCCGGAAGTGTCCCTCACATCCGTGGGGGAATGGCGGCGGCGTTGGGCTCGGGCGAGCGCCGCGCCTCCTCTCTCCCTCCCGCCATCGGCCGCGAGCACCGCAGCTCGCCCAGGAGGGAGGCGGTGGCGCAGAGCAGCTCTGCGAGGCGAAGCAGCGCCTCCTCCATCTCTGCTCCCGACTCTGGAGAGGGGACGGTCGGCAGAGCAGACAGCTGCTCAGCCGGCGGTGCGGCGTTGTTGTCGGCCGGCGGTGCAGCGTCGCTGTCGGCCGGCGTTGGCTGCCCCATCGCTGCCTGCTCCTCTTCATCGCCGTCAGGACTGAAGGTACGTGGCTTACTTCTTGTCTCCATAGCCACTTCTAACACCAAATGTAACGGGTTCCGGAGACACTTGTAGATGTAACTTCTTTATTACAATACAACACTCCAACAGTCCTGATACTCTGTTACAGCCTAGGTACACAGCCTAGCTACACAGCCTAGATACTCTACTCTGGCTACGCTCTGGACTCGCCCTCACAAGGTCGTAGCGTCGGGAGTTCCAGAGTCCCAGCGCTGGCTCTCACAGCATCCCAGGGTCTTCAGATGGCTGGTCGTGGGTCTTGGGTCTTGAGTTACAACTGGGGCCCGATCGTCCAGGGAGCTCCGGTTATATGCCCAGTCCCCAACGAGGGGTGGGGCCGTGTGCGCCACCAGACATCCCACAGAGCACACACAGCCCCCCCCGTTGGCGGCGCCCAGAGGCTTAAGCGTCTGGACCCCCTGGGAACCCAGCGCCTGGCGCCCAGGGGATTACGCGTCTGGACCCACCTGGGAACCCAGAGCCTACAGCAGCCCCTCCCTTCTTATGTCACTACACCAGAAACGTGTGGCCCCGCTTGGACATATTGGCACGACAAGTGAGTGAGTGTGTGGGTGAGTGTGTGGGTGAGTGGGTGAGTGTGTGGGTATGTGAGTGTGTGGGTATGTGAGTGTGTGGGTATGTGAGTGAGTAGGTGAGTGAATGGGGTGAGTGAGTGGTTGGGTGAGTGACATGCAGTGTGGTGGGTGAGCGTGTGAGTGATGGGGTGAGCGAGTTTCAGTATGGTGGGTGAGTGGTTGGGTGGTGAGTGTGTGATTGATGGGGTGAGTGACCTTTAGTGTGGTGGGTGAGTCTGTGTGTGATGGGGTGAGTGAGTGTTGGGTGAGTGAGTGACCTTCAGTGTGGTGGTTGAGTGAGTGATGGGGTGAGCGAGTGGTTGGGTGGATGAGTGAGTGACCTGCAGGGTAGACTGAGCTCAGTTTCCGTTTTGCCTCCCACGGTGTGACCCCCACCCACGGTGACCCCCAACCCACGGTGTGACCCCCCCCCCCCACGGTGACCCCAACCCACGGTGTGACCCCAACCCACGAGGGATGAGGTCTGCTGAGGCTGCTGTACTTCGAATATTGGAAGAAGAAGTCGACCCCTGTGAGTGGCTGACTGATGTCCCATCTGTTGAGGAAGTACTGAAGGCGATCCAGAGTCTTGAGACCAGGAAAGGCACCGGGCAGAGATGATCTCCCGAGCAAAATGCTGAGGGAGGGTGGCGTTTGTGCGCAGACTGCCCTACATGACATCATAACAACAGTCTGGACCACTGGACGGGTTTCGCAGGATTGGAAGGATGCCCTGGTGGTCCCCCTCTTTAAGAAGGGGGACCGCACAGACTGTAACAACTACAGGGGCATCTCACTCCTCAGTGTGCCGGGAAAGGTCCTGGCAAGGATGATTCAACATCGCCTTGCCAGGCCCGCTGAGGAGAGGCTTGCAGAGCCCCAATATGGTTTCTGTAAAGGGTGGTTCTGCACAGATGCCATATTTTCTGTCTGTCTGCTCCAGCAGAGGTGGAGGGTTAATCCAACAAGACCTACATCTCTACTTTATTGACCTGGTCAAGGCCTATGATACCATCGGTAGACCTGGGCTCTGGGTTCTTCGTGCTTTCGGAGT